AAGCCTATTTGAAGGATAAGATTTGGAAGAGAATAATATTAATGAAAAACATCTTACAATTCCCTAATCATTATCTTTGTCCACCCAAATTTTTAAAATGTTGTGAAATTAGTTTCCCATAATCCATATATAGACAAATAGTTAAATATGTTTGTTTTAAATCTCTGACCCAAGGTCAAATTGAAACAGATATTAATTCTGCTCAATCAAGATTGCCACTTTCATTCCATTTATTCAGAAGTACCTGAGCAACGAAAATACTTTTCCATTCAGTTGTAAATGTAGAAATTCAAGATAAAGGTATATAAAATTTGGAACCATGAAGAAAGAGATCCATAATTTTTACTATATGATTTAGTGATATAAATTTTAAAAATAACCCTAAGGTCTGTGTTTTGTCTCATAGTAGCTGCAAATTCTGGAGATGTGGGAATGGAGAAGAACACAATACTAATGCTTTATGTTTCAAATTTATCTTCATGGTTGAGCCTAAGGATGTGGGGACTTTATAAGAATCATATTCTAAATATTCAGAGATCACATGAGAATCTGTATCCAAACCACTGTTTTGTTTCATTACAACATAACACTGCATCTTTAATATTGCAAGCCGTATCTGGGTGAATGAGAAGATAAAGATGGAAGTTCCTATTTGGAGCTATTGCATAAACCTGCATGTCGTCGTCATCATCATCATCATCACTATCATTTTAGCCATTGCCTAGCCACTGCAGGATGAAGGTCTCTTCTGCATATTTCCAACCAATCGGTCCTGAGCTTTCTTTTGCCAATTGGGCCCACAATACTTGCTGATGCTGTTGATCCGTCTTGTTTTAGGTCTCTTTCATGGACGCTTTTTATCAAATGAGATCCTTTCTATGATTGCATTGATCCACCTGCCATCAGTTATTCTTGCTATGTGACCAGCTCATTTCCATTTGAATTCTTTTACTCCCTTGATGATATTGTACAATTTCATTTATTCTCTAATCCATGTGCAAATCTTTCTGTCTTGTCTTGTAATGCCAAGCATGTATCTTTCCATGGCTTTTTATGCCACTCGTAGCTTTTGTATCGATTGTGAGGTTAGTGTCCATGTTTCACTGGCATATGTTAGAGCAGGTTGCACACACTGATCAAAAACATTTCTCTTCAGGGGGAGCTTGTTCTTGAAAATTATGCTTAGCTTGCCGAATGCCTACCAACCACATTTAACAGGCCGTTCAATTTTCTTTATTGTATCACCTTCCATTGAGATCTATTGGCCAAGATATATGTAATGGTATACTACATCTACCGTAGTTCTTCTCCAGATATAATTTTCTTTCTTAGAAAAAATAAATTCTTAGTGAATTTATTAAACAAAACTGGTTTTTTTCAGGTTTATTTTTAAGCCAAATGTGTCTCCTGCTTTGTGCTGCTCTTATATGTGTCTTTATAGCATTTCTAGGTCTTGTGAGAAGAGAACAATATCATCTGCAAATATTAAGTGATTCTTTTGCCCAGTCTAGTTTGCAAAATACTTCTTCAAGGCAGGCTGAGAAAAAGATAGGTGATATTGTATTGCCTTGTTAGACACCTCGTTCCATGTTGATTCCCACTTTAAGATCATTAAGACAAATTGTTGCCATTGTTTTTTTATATATTGACTGTAGTAAGTTTATGTAAGCAGTGACTATGCCTTGGTTGAACAATGCATTGGCAGTAATGTATTCATCCTTAAACTGATGTCTAAATCACATGTATTCATCCTTAAACTGATGTCTAAATCTGCAATTTGCAGATTTATTGTGCACTGTTTTGGATACTAAAGGTCAAAGGTGCTTCAGAACACATAGCAGCATTCAGGTAGTACTCAACAACTCTTTAAATTACCTCTTTCACCAAAACTCTGATCCTTTGTTTCCATAGTACCAATTGACCTCAGGAAAAACAAAGTTTGATTTGAGTTGCAACAGATGCCACTTGTGTGCCTCAAACTGCCTTTTTTCTTTTGAAGCTGAAATGCAACACTAATATTTGTGTCAAAATATACTGTATCCATCTTTTTCATTCTATAATTTATGTATACATTTTCAGGCAGATTGTATATAAAAAGGATGAAAAATCAAGAGAATTACTCTTTCAGAGAAATTTTTAAACTTGGTAATTGCATAAGCTAATTGGTTCTGTCTGAAAATGTATACATGGTTCTTATGACTTAAATCATTAGAAAAAGATGTTATTTCAAAATGGTATCATTTGCATTAAAATATGTGGAATCAAATTGATCTCTCTGTATGTCATAACAGCATCAATAATGAAGACAAGCACGATCTGTTACCAAAGCTGAGGTGTGATTTGTGCAATATATAGATTCAAAATAAAAGTCAAAATATTCACTGAGAATCCGATAAAAGGAAAAAAGAATGACATTGCCATAGGTGTCTAGTACAGGCCATCCAACCAAGCAGAAGAAATAGATGAAGCTTCTGCTAATCAGTTAACTAATGTAGGAAACACACAATAGTAATGGGGGACTTTAACTATCCTGACATCAACTGGGAGACAAACTATGAAGCAGGTGGGAGATCGAACATGTTCCTTATGAGCCTAGTTGATAACTTTGTCATCCAAAACATAGAGAAGGGAACTAGAAGGTCAGCTATACTGGACTTAATTCTTATTAACAGAGGTGAAATGATAGAGGGAGTTAAAATTGCAGGAACTTTGGGTGAGAGGGATATGTCCTATTGGAATTCAATATAATGCAGACACAAGCAATATAATAAAATCAAACTACTGTCTTAGAGTAGACTTTAAAAGAGCTGATTTCAACAAATTTAGAGAGAGTTTGGGAAGGATTCCACGGATGAAAATCTTAAAGGGGAAAACAAGAAGCCTGGGAAACTCTAAAAATTGTGATTATAAAGCCCAGTCCACTACAGTATCACTGAAAAGGAAAAATAAGAAATCCAAGAAGAAATCAGCATGGATACATAAAGAATTATCTGATAAACTGAAAGACAAAAAGGATAAGTACAAAAAAATGGAAAGAGGGGACATGTAACTAAGGCAGAATACCAACAGATAGCCTGAATCTGCAAAGATGAAGTCAGGAAAGCTAAGGCTCAGAATGAAGTAAGACTTGCAATAAATGTCAAAACTGATGAAAAAATTCTTTCAAAATATATTTTAAAAAGGCAAGGAAACAATTGGGCCACTAATGGGAGAAGATGGCAAGGAAGTGAAAGGTGGCAGGGAGAAAGCAAAGCTGCTTAATTCATTCTTTGCATCTGTCTTCACACAAAAGGGAAAAATAGTCCAACCTACCAAAAGCAGAACCGTAAAAGACTAGGAATACAAATTAAAATAGGCAAGAAAATAGTAATAGAACACCTGTGCACCATAGATCAAATCACCAGGACCAGATGGATTACACCCCAGAGTTCTAAAGAAACTGGCATGTGATTTTGGAATCACTGAATCATATCTTTCAAAGATCCTGGAGAACTGGGAAACTCCCAGAGAACTGGGAAAGAGCCAATATATAAGCCAGTCAGCCTGACACCAATAGATGGGAAGATCCTGGAAAAGACTGTCAAACAACGAACACCTATAGTAGAGGCAAATAAAGTTACAAACAGAACCAACATGGGTTTGTTGGAAATAGATCATGCCAGACAAATCTTACTACATTCTTTGACAGTGAAATGCTATGGATTAATGAAATGGTATGCTATGGACATAATTTACTTGCACTTCAGTAAGGCATTTGATAAAGTAGACCACAACCTACTACTCGGTAAGATAGAAAAATGTGGGTTAAACAGCATCACCAGCAGATAGATTTGCAATTAGTTGACTGCACTCAACATGTAGTCCTCAATGGAACTACATCTACAGGGAGGGAATTATGCAGTGGGGTACCTAAAGATACCTGTCTTAGACTCAGTACTCTGCAAAGTATCTTCATAAACAATTTAGAAGGGGAACTCATCAAATTTGCAGACAAGACAAGCTGGTGGGAATAGCCCACACCTCAGAAGAGAGGATGAAGATTCAGAAGGATCTTGACAGACTAGAACACTGGCCTCTATGTAACAAAATGAAATTCAGTAATGAAAAAAATAAGGTTTTACACTTAGGCAAGAGAAAACAAATGCCACAATATTAAAAAAAGATGTTGAGAGTCTGGAAAGAGTGCATAAAAGAGCAACTAAGATGATTAGGGGACTGGAGGCTAAAACATATGAAGAATGGTTGCAGGAATTTGGTATGTCTAGTCCAGTGAAAAGGACTAGGGGGTGACATGATAGCAGTGTTCCAATATTTGAGGGGCAGCAACAAAGAAAAGGGGATCAACCTATTTTCCAAAGCACCTGAAGGCAGGAGAAGCAGCAATGGATAGAAACTAATCAAGGAAAGAGTCACCCTAGAGCTAAGGAAAAAATTCCTAACCAGTGGAACGGCTTGCCTTCAGAAGTTGTGGGTGCTCCATCACTGGAGCTTTTTAAAAAGAGACCGGACATTCATAAGGTCTCCTGCTTGAGCAGGTTGGACTAGAAGACCTCCAAGGTCCCTTCCAACTGTTATTCTATTAATCTAACTGACCCTCACCTTCAGTTCACTAATAATACCATCATATTACTACCTGGGCCCTGTACAACTCTTATTAGTTTTTATTACCCCCAGACTATATATTAAATTGTGGTCTAAGAAATAGGAACTTCAGTCCATTTTATTATACAGGCTAGGGTTATAATTGCAGGCAAAACTTAAATAGAGTGAATGGCTGACACATCTCTTCAAGAGGGTTGAGTGTTATTATCTACAAAGAAGAAAACAAATTAAATGCTTTAGCAACTATAATCTAATTGGGCGAAAAAGTGTCCCGTTACTATGTTCCATCTATTTCTTTGCGGAGAGGAAGAAAAGCGGGTGAAATACCGTAACACCTTTACAGTTCCTAATAAAGCAATGGCCACAAGCTTGCAAGACCTCGACGTCCGATCACTCACCTAAACACTTCCGGGTCAATGCCGCTCCCCGCAGCCTGCGCAAGTTCAAATAGTTCCTCTTCTTCCCCTGTAAGAAGTTTCCGCCGAGCTCGCAATCCAACAGCTGTGACCCCCTTCGGTAACCCTGCCGTGTCCATCACCGACCCGATATCCCAGAGGCGCCCTCCGGCCTCACGTTCACTTCCGCGGGCAAAGCATCTCGGGATGGCTTTTATTTAATGAGGAACTCTGGGATTCGTGGTTTCTCGGAAAGCCGGTAAATCTAAACTGTAGATTTCTCATTCGGTACTCTGAAGTTGGACTTTTCTCCTTCGGCGTCTGCTTTTCACTCATAAGCAGGATATGATCGATGGTAGCAAATGAAAAAAATAGCAACACGAAGTGCTCCATTTTCAGATCATGCCTTCTCCTCTCATTTTGTATCCTCTCCACCTAACACTGGGGCTGAAGAGCTTCGTTCGTACACTTAGGCTCTTAATGAAACCCTTGAAATTATTTTGCAGTTTGTAGTTGATTTTCCTGGGAAGTCAAAAAATACTTCTTTACTTTGATAAAGACCAGTGTGGTTGCACCCAATAGTGAGAAAAGTCGAGGTTGACGCCAGGGCATACGTATTTAAAATAAATAAGTTAAAATAAAGAACAAAGTTAAAGGTAATGAGATATCTGGTTCAAGTACTAATTTAGTTTCTAAGCTGACAAGTCCCTAGGCTAAAGTTTACAGTAGTTTCCCTCGAAAACCAAATTCTGTGGTTTTAATAAAGTTGTGAAGTGGGAGACATGCTGCTGCTGAATCAGGCATATTTGTTTAGACAAGTTCAATGAGTTCTGTAGTATTTTTCTCCTAATTACAACTCCAATCGATTACTTGTTGACCTTGTTTGCTTGCTGGTCTTTTATATCCAGTGTATCACACTGATCCAAATAATTTAGATGCTTGGATTGTTTGCAGACAAGAACAAGCTGGCGGGAATAGCCAACATCCCAGAAGATAGCGTGAAGATCCAGAAAGATCTTGTCAGACTGGGCCCTATGTAACAAAATGAAATTCAGTGGCAAAAAGAATAAGATTTTAAAGCCAATGCATAGGTACAGAATAGGTGGTACCTGGCTCAACAACAGTAACTGCGAGAGAGGTCTAAGACAGGGTTTTTCAACTTTTCACTGATTGTACCACTTTTAGGATATGGCAATATTCGAGTACCACCTAGCAAGGTGTCAAAAACTTGATGACCAAAAAAAAAAGGGAAAAAGTGATAAAGTACAGGTAATCCTCGACTTACAACAATTCGCTTAGTGACTGTTCAAAGTTACAATGGCACTAAAGTGACTTATGAGCATTTTTCACACGTATGACCGTTGTAGCATCCCCAGGATCATGTGATTTATATTTGGATGCTTGGCAACTGATTCATATTTATGATGGTCACAATGTCCCAGGGTCATGTGATCCCCTTTTGCAAACTTTTGATAAGCAAAGTCAATGGCAGGGCTGCTGGTGGCCAAGTGCTAAGGCAGGACCTCCTTCAGACCCTCCCTCCCTTTCATTCCAATCTCCCTGCCTCCTCTCTTCCTTCATGTTTCCCTCCCTCCCTCTTTCTCATTCCTAGCTCCTTCCTTCTGAAGGAAGAATTTGACCTCCCCCCATATTTTCCCTCTTCCATATATTTATCAAACAAAAAGACAGAAAAGACAAGCCGCTGAGGGAACTAGCTTAAAAAGGCGCATTCCCCTTTAAGAATTAGCTACTGGCTAGAAAGGAAAGTTAAGGAGCCGGCAGCCGGCACTTAAGGAAAAAAAACAAAAAACAAATGTAGTAAGTAGCCTTCCCAAATGGATCCATTCATAAGTAAACAAATGCTACAGGCAAAATCCATTGAGGACAAAAATACTTCAAAATCCCTTGCAGCAAAATTTACAGCTCCAGCTAACTCCTCTTCCCAACGCTGCGTCTTTTTTTCTCTCCTTCTCCTGCCCAAACTACCTCCTTTTATAGCCTCTCCTCTCTGCCCCCCTTCTTTCTCTTCCGGGTGAGCCGGAAGTGCCGATCCTGGGGCCTTTGCCTCGCCCCAGCCGTCCTGTAGCTCCTGAGGACTCTCTCATAGCAAGTCCTGTGCTGTGCCGCTTTGGCTTGTTCCCTCCCCTGCTACATTGGCTGGGCTGGGCAGGGTTGCGTACCACCTGCCAGGTGCCAATGTACCATCGGTGGTACCCATACCACTGATTGAAAAGCCCTGGTCTAGGAGTACTAGTGGATAACCACTTAAATATGAACAGCAGTAGCCACCAAAAAAACCACATTAAAATAGAATAGAGCTGGAAGGGACCTTGGAAGTCTTCTAGTCCAGCCCCCTGCTCAAGCAGGAGAACCTATACCATTTCAGACAAGTGGTAGTTCCAGTCTCTTAAAAATCTCCAGGGATAGAGTGCCCACGATTTCTGAAGGTAAGCTGTTCCACTGGTTAATTGTCCTCACTGTTAGGAAGTTTCTCCTTAATTCCAGGTTGCTTCTCTCTTTCATCAGTTTCCAACCATTGTTTCTTGTCTTGCCCTCTGGTGCTTTGGATAATAGTTTGACCCCCTCTTTGTGGCAGCCCCTCAAATACTGGAATACTGCTATAATGTCACCCCTATTTCTTCTTTTCTTCAGACTAGCCAAACCCAAGTCCTGCAGCCATTCTTCATATGTTTTAGTTTCCAGGCCTTTGATCATTTTAGTTGCACTTCTCTGAACTTCTTCCAAGGTCTCAACATCTTTTTTTGTAGTATGGTGACCAAAATTGGTTGCAGTATTCCAGGTGTGGTCTTACTAGGGTTTTATAAAGCGGTACTAATACTTCGTTTGAACTTGATTCTATGCCTCTGTTTATGCAACCCAGGATTGTATTAGCTGTTTTGGCTGCTGCTGCACACTCTGGCTCATAGTCAAGTTGTCAGAATCCAATTATATTTCATCTCTAGTTATCAGCTATGGAAAACCCCATTTCTGCCTTCTCTGGATTCTGTCATACGATGAAGGGAAGGGGGTGAACAAAGGGGCTTTATGGCCCTCACTTCCTTCAGTATACTTCAAAGGGACTGGATGTGGATACCACCAAAAGGACTAACAATAACAATTGGGGCCATTAACTTTCATATAATCCTTTCTGAAGTCTCTCCTCCCGGCAGTGAGGAAAAGGGGGTGGGAATGTAATGCCTGGAACTGTCGCTGGAAGAAGGGGGTGATGGGGTGGGGCTACTGGGGAATCCCTTAAAACCTTGAATGGGAGAGCTTGGACGCCAAGTCCTGTCTAGAATGCCTGCAACCAGTTTTCTCTTAATAAAGATGCCTGTTGGAAGAAATATTCCAAGAGTTCTGTCTTCTTAAGATGCAAAGCGAGGTGGGTCCTTACATTAGACAGGACTTGCAAAATTAGTCCACCTGGAAGGAAGACCCTTGCCAGGGGACTTTGCAAAAATTACCATGTCAGACGGGGGAGCAAGGAAGGGAGAAAACTCCCCGGAAAGGGAGCCGCTGCCCCGGCTGAAACCCTGCCAGATGTTCGGGATCTGAGAGGTCAGAGTCCTCAGGAGAAGAGGTGGTGGAGACACGGGACCACAAACCTCGGTGGTCAATGAACGTTGGAAAGAAAGGCGAGTGGGAACAGAAATCAAGAAAGGTGACCCTGAGACGGGGGGCCAAACAACCAGAATGGAAGCAGGAGATGGAGAAATCCCTGCAGGCAAGTGAAGAGGAAGAGAGCTGGGCACCGTACTCGGGCTGGATCCTAGAGAAAGCGATTGACCTAATGAAGAGAACTCTAAGCTCCCTAGGAGAGGAGAATCCTGAGCCCTACGCCCGCCCCAGCTCCTGGAGCTGCAAAAGGAGAGACACCGAAGGGGAAGTGGAACCTACAGTCCCAGGGACATCTGCTGATCCAGTAGTCCCCATCCCCCGTCGAACCACAGATGGCAATCTGAATGGAAGAGACTACCACCAAGAACGAAGGCACCAATCCATTCAAAGACGTCTGCCGTTGGAGGTGAAATTCAAAGGGGAGCCAACACGCTTGGGGGTTTTCCTAACCCAAGTCCTCAGCTACATGGAGGAATACGGGCAGGACATCCCCAGCGACAAAGCCCGTATCCGGATCGTGCAATCTGCCCCGGCCGCGCCGGCCGCAGATTGGGTGGTGAACGTGCACGACTCCAATGCCCCAGAGCTCAACGACTTCAACCGTTTTATGTCCTCCCTGAGAAGACATTTGAGGACCCCCTGGCTGATCGCAAAGCCCGCGAAAGGATAAAAACGATGAGGCAAGGCAAACGCCCGGTAGCCGAATATACGCAAGAATTCCGGGCCATTGCCAGCAAACTGAACTGGCCAGAAGACATCCTCCTTAGCCATTTCAAAGATGGACTAAATTATGACCTACATGACGCTTGCCTGCCCCGAGGGGACCCACACCAACTTGAGGAATGGTACGTCTTGGCAGAGGAAGCAGAGATCGACATATTGAAGAGGCACCGCCGAGGAAAACAATGGAGCCGCTCACCGCCTGAGCTGACACGCAAACCAGTGAAACCATTGGCCATGGCCAAGAAGCAACCGGGGTGTTTCAAGTGCGGGAAAGAAGGGCACCGAGCTGTAGAATGCCGCTCAAGAGCCAACCAACACAACCCAGACAGATCACCGGCCAATAACTCCGGAAAGTCTCCAGCTAAGCCAAAAGAACCTGCCATGAGAATGATGGAAGCTGTGGAATCCCCCACCTCTGCTCAGCAGGGGGAAAGAACCCCAGCCTACACCGCAGGGCCGGTGGACGCCTCAGACGACAGCTCGGAGGGCGAACCCCTGGTAAGTGGACGCATCGCACCCATCCTCAAGACAGTGACTATATTCATTCCCCCCATGGCCGAAGCCGTGAGGGTGAGAGCATTAATAGACTCTGGCTGCACCCGCTGCCTCATTAGCCCGACACTAGTGGGGAATCTGGGCATTCTGTCGAGGAGACTGGAACAACCAATCTCATTTGGCCAGTTAGATGGGTCCATAGCAGGGGGGGTGCCAGCTACCCTAGCCACTTTACCAATACACCTCTCCCTGGACAAACATGAGGAGGACATAACGTTTGTGGTGACCCCAGGCATGGAATGCCCAATGATCCTAGGGATGGAATGGTTCCAAAAATGGAAGCCCT